TGTACAAACAAAAATAAAGCCCATTATATCAGCCCTGTTACAGGAAGCCCACAAAGACCAAATATCGGGATAAACTCAGGCCTACAGTACCACTACCAGAACACGAGACCGTTCAAAAGGGCATTAAAGGAAAGTGCATTACAGCATAGTATAGAGTACAGTATAGTATGTGAAGATGTACGGACGCCGTGGAATATGTCCACTTTGCCGACTATGCTCTGTCAAGCATAGCAACTATCTGTCTCAAGACAATTCTGGACATCAGGTCTAGAAGATTATCATGTAGTGTATTCCTGATTATTCTTTCAGATCAGCGTCGTTGCTGGCAACATGTTATTAACACGTATTACAACAACCTACATCTTCCTTTCTTCTTCTTTTTCACCTGAAATATAAAAAAAAAAATTCCCTTTTACAGAACGAAGGTAACATTTCCATCGCGAGCGACAGTGCATTCGACATTTTACTTTTCTCCCTGTCACATAGAGCTCATGTATTATTCATACTTATCATTCAAGTACAGCACAATTTAAAAAATATTGTAACATTTTATTGATGTCGCATATTCGACAACAAATTGCTCCTAACAGTGACCCAACATATAACGATTAACGTGACTTCCAAGGACGACGCGGCACGTGCCCCAACAAAACGTAGTCTCGTCCCATATTCTATATAGCTCATCTTCACCGACGCTCATTATCGCATCACCGATTCCGTCTTGCAGTTCCCTTAAAAACTGTCAGAGGAGAAACATAAAATCCGTCCCGAATGTAGAGCAGGGACCACAAGACGAGCTGCGATGCGGTAATGAATATCGACGAACACATGGTACACAGAGCGTCGGATAAGACGCCCGTGTCGGTATTCAGTATGAAATTCAATTACGTTCTTCAGGACATTCTGACCGCGGACATTTTAAACTGCAGGGCTTCGCACGACGTACCTGTAACGCGGCCCTGGTTGCGGTCTCGAACACTTCACGAACGCCTTCTTTGCTTTTGGCAGAACATTCCAAGTACGCAAATGCATTAATCTTCTCAGCCATGGCTCGCCCCTCTTCTGGTTTCACGGGCTCCTGCTTCATCTTCCCGAGCTCTTTGATTGTGTTAGGGTCGTTCCGCAAATCCTGACACACACACACGACAAAATTTATCACATGACATACTCTTCAAGAAACCACGTCATAGGAAAAACAAACCCTCGACACTCATGAGAATAAAGCGACATCACCTCCTTCCACGATATTAAAACTGTCAGCTACTAAACTGTATTTTGTTGCAATCTGATTTAAGTTCCTCTAGATTTATTTTGACCCTAAAAGGCCCAAAGGTGGCGATTACGGAATCGCAGCAGTTACCGGAGAAGAACTCTCTGGTAAGGAAGATACCAATGTCGATGAGATAATGAGCAGGAAACATACCATTCAATTAGTCGCACGTCTAAACAGCGCACGCATAGAAACTTCTTCACTCTTTGAAAGCAAAGATTACATCCGCAGGAATACTAGAAAATTTAATTCAGTTATATCAACACTCAATCCTGTACTGAAACACAAAATCAGCGACTCACCTTCTTGTTCCCAACAAGAATTATGGGAACGTTGGGGCAGAAATGCTTCACTTCTGGAGTCCATTTCTCTGGAATATTTTCCAATGAATCTGGCGAGTCAATAGAGAAACACATGAGTATGACATCCGTGTCGGGATAAGACAATGGCCGTAGCCTGTCGTAATCCTCCTGCCCTGCCGTATCCCACAGCGCCAACTCGACCTACGAATCACCAAAGCAAATCATAAACGTGCTTGACATATCAAAGAGCAATGACGATAAATTTGTGCGTATTTACGTAATATTAAAAAAAAAATTCTGGCCGAATCAACAAATGAGGTGTACCATTATTTAAAGGCTTATACTTATTTGTATTTTGTATAAAAATTGTCTGCAAATTTATGTATGAAATATTCCCATTTATATTAATCTTGATAGACAATAAGGTGAGGTCATGAATTAACACGAAAATTAAGTTCACTCCACTCCGTGACGTACCTGTTTCCCGTCGACTTCTATGTCAGCTACATAGTTTTCAAAAACGGTTGGAACGTAAACTTCTGGAAACTGATCCTTGCTGAAAACTATGAGCAGGCAAGTTTTACCGCAGGCACCATCTCCGACAATCACAAGTTTCTTCCGTATAGCAGCCATGAATTCTGAGACATTAAATATAATTTACAAACAGTAATTTAATTATACATTACATAAGCATCTGTACAATTATAGAAAAATCCGACACTTCAGTTATAATGCTAGATGTGTTACTAAATGAACTGAGCAGTAGTGGAATAATCATGGGCTATTTCAGGACTTGAGAAATCACAGGAGCCAGGTCTTGTTGGCACCTAGAAATTTTGTTGCACTGAATACTTTCAAGTGTAATTACTTTTACTACTACATCTCTCCTCTCTTGTAAATCCCAGTAAACAATCTGAACAACAAAATCTTTATTCATCACTTATTTCTAATCACAGAATTAAGAATGGGGGTTGGAGTAATTTCATTTGCATTGCCATTAAGGTGGTGCACACATTACCTTGTGTGAATATTAAAAGGCGCAGAATCTAAATCCATTTTACGCAGTACACTCACATAAAGTGCTCCTAAATTGATCAGGAATCTGTGAAATGCTATTAATCCCAATGTACAATATGTGTTGAGCAAATTTAAGTTTGTCTAAACTATAAAATCACCCAGCACATGCTATAAAACTGTGCAAATTTTTGTTATAAAGTAAATAAAATTGACATTCATAAAACTTAGAATCAAATAAATATTATGTACTTATCAGGTAAGAAATCCAGTTGCACATAACTAGTTACAGGCCAGTATGCAATTCAGAACAGACTCAAAATCCTATCCTACGGTTATTTGGTCACTCTGATTGCATGGCTTGTCACTTTTTCTCATATTGATATAAATGTAGGATAGTTTGAACAGGTTAAATGCATAAAAAACCTTCAGCATCACAAAACTTCTAACAAAACACCTCCCATACTAACTAGTCTGAACTAAGCTGCATTTCAGACAAGTGGGAATGTAAACAAAGTTGTGTTAAGAGGTTATGCTATAACTGCTTCCTAACTCTGTCCCTCATCCATTTCATATTGTTCTATTTTGTAAAAATAATGAAATAGCACTTTTATTATTCTTTACAGTGATAATGACTTGTGTTTATCACATCTCAGGTGGAATAAGGTATTGTAACTCTGAAGTAAATATACATTTAGGAGTAGGACAAGTCTAGTAACTTATTGTGAACTACAGTAATGTTAGAATGGCTTCCAATACAAAGTAAAATACTAAACACAGTATTTTTCCAACACAATATGGAAAATGATATGTCAATATAACTGCAAAGAGAAATCTTCACAAATCAACCAAATTAAAGAAATTAATAAGGACTTCAATACGTAATATAATGAAATATTCATAAATGGGGTGGGCATCAACAAAACCTATGTACTATGACAATTTGGATGAAATTTTTCTGCTGCCCCATTCATGTAATCCATCACTAGCCCTGTTCCTACATCATAGCAGAGTATCCCACTTACTGAGATCTCATGACAATCACCTGGTTTCAAGAAATGCCTGCCCAAATGGTAAAAACATGAAAAGATCCATTTAAAAGAACTCTTTTGTTGATGGCCATACTGAAGGCCTCCCTGCAGGGCCTGGTCTCATAAGAGTCCTTAGGACTTCAACATACATTTTATTTTCACACAGATTGGGATTTACTCCTTTCTTCAAATTCAACATCTCACATAAACGTAAAATGCAACAATATTTAATCTCCGTTATTTATAACTTCTATTTTCCTGAAACTCGTTGAGTCTCAAGTAGCAGTGCTATCCAGTTATTTATTCCAGTACACTCAAATGATATTCAAATGTTACTACTACTCTCTCGACATGTTTTAATTACATATCTTATGTTATTTTAGACAAATTAGGAATTAAATTAATTGTTTTACCTATTACAATAGTCTATACGGTCAAACCTATTCCCGAAGATGGCTGAAAGTTTGTGGACCACACCTCAATTCCCTTCTGATTAAGTTTATTGAACTTGCGTTAAAATCCTACGAACTACAAAACTCAACTTTCCACACTTTAAATACAATGTTCAAGTTCTCAATTCACTTTATTAATCGGTACTAACGACATGAAACAATAAATTGACTGCACCCACTGCCCAAGGAAATTTTACTTACAGGGCCAATTACACTAATATTCTACCGTATTCAACTAACCTTCACTCCTCGACGGCTGTTGTTCTTAAATTTTCAATTGAGCTCGCAGAGCGCGGAGGAGCAACAACAACATGAACGAAAACTGCTGTGTATATTCAAACTTGGATTACGAAATAATACAACTTATAATAAAATTCCAACAACACGTACAGACCTTACGTGTCCGCAGAATGCTTATTAAAATAAAAACTACAAAATAAATGCCTTTGTGGATATTACAGAACACAAGACGCTCACAACCGCTCTGAACGCTCCCAACTGTTGCATAGAGAGCAAACTGGAGTGGTTCATGACCAAAAGAGCGCCAATTTTGAAAAGTAAGCGATAATCATAATTGTTTCATACCAAACATTTCTCTTTCATATTAATGTACAATTTAGTAATTAAATATAATTAAATGTGTAACTGAGACATTCTGTTGCAAAGTGTGATATTACCACCGTCTATGGTAATCTGAAATTTATCAGCATATCTATCTACCAAAAAAGTTTTCTATTGTCATCACGAGCAAATTATACAAAATTAATAATTCTATTCTATATGGACTGAGGTTTGGAATGCAATCCCATCAAATGCCAGAACACAATCAACATATTTACTGTCATACAAACCTCATGCCTCATTCTGTCTTCAGTGTATGATATTCCAAGCGATCCTCTGCCAGATTTCCACACAAAAATTTTGTATACGTTTCTTTCCCATACTGTTGATTCTGACTATCAATTTACCACTTACTTCCGGTTTATTGTGTCTTAATATCCCCATTAGTTATAGGTTTTTATCATTCAACACACGAAGGGCCCAAATTTATTGGGCTATTATGCATTGCTTCATCAGAACAATTTAAATACACAATTTCAGAAATTAATAAAAAAAATATATACTGTGAGAAGAGGAGGTCTCCTTTATGTGTATAACTCATAAACAGTTAAAAGCAATTGGTATAAAGAAAAACAACGGAAGATAATTAATTTTTAAAATGAAGACGAGCTTGATATGTACACTGCATGCTGTACATTCTAAAAATATTTAGGAAATTACTAGAATTTATCATATAATAAGATGTGACAAACTATATTACTCTTATAATACATTTAGTGCTTAGAATGTCAAAAATATACATCCTTTCAATGTTACATTTACAATAAAACATCAATTAAAATTCATTTCATTTTTAGTTATTTTTGATACAAAAATTAATGGCAGAAATTATAAATCACATTTCACTTTCACTATAATACATAAAGAGCACCAGGATAAATTCAAATTCATTAAACCATAACTAAAGAACAATTTTACAGTAAAATGCATCTCACTCTTAAAGTGAAGATTAGAATGCTGATGACACACATATAAAAGAATTCTGATTTGTTATTTACAGAATTAATTTAATTAATATTTAATTTATTCAGGAAATATGCTTTGAAGATGGCTCTCTTCCGTGTTGCTATGCCGTGTAGTCTGGTAGAAGTTTACCGACGTTTCAGAGGCTGCAAGTAGCTTTGAAATATCAGCCAATTTTTCTATAAGACTACATAGAGTGCAAACCCAGAAGACAATCATCTTCGTACTCACCGCTGTGAAAACCTCAAATCGTACAAGGACAATTAATTTCAGTGATTTCATAGAGGTCCATCACTATATACAAGCACAAAATCTGATCCCATTGGATTTGCCATTTTGCATTCTCTAGGGCAAAAAAGATATTGCACATCCAATGAGAGAGAAGCTCAACTTTGAGGCCAGCTCAGATGCACTGTAGAAGCAGTATGCAACTACCGGGTTCAGTGTGGTGAAAAACAAAAGCATCCAAATGGAAAGCGGCCACATACATTTGCCACGACTGTATTCTGCTACCAGTAACACCTCTGGTAATACAGACGCATGTAACAAAGCTAAGACTTTGTGAGATTTTAGCATCATGAAGAATTTAAGCATTCTATTGTTTTTTTTTCTTTTTACTAAGTTTGGCTCCCTGACACCATATTCAGATTAAAGGCACACATTTATAAAATATACTGCAATCACACTGTTATGAAAAAAGAAATGTCCTTTAAAGTACATGTAATGAAAACACAAGACTTAAAATTTAAAGTTTGTACATTGAAGGAAAGAGAGGACTAGGAAGAAGATTGATACAGCTAACCGACGACCTTAAACAAGGAAAGAAGATGACGTTCCAGGAATTAAAGCGAGAAGCCGAGAATAGGGACAACTGGAGAGCTCTTTTTGGGCAGAGCAATGGACCTGTCGTAAGACAGAACACTTAATAATAAACATTAGAGTATATATAAATATAATTGGCACCTGATAATTACTGCTCATATTTTCTGAGGTAATTCCCTGGCACGTAGCCTTTCCGTCCAAAGCGGTCTTCTACAAACCACCATTCAGGATTACCCTCTATATCTCGCTGCTGTAGAACTGACACAATTTGGCCACTTTTGACAGTTAGCATGTGCGTCCCAGAACCTTCAAAATCATACGCAGCATAGAAAAACTGTGAAATAAACAAGACATTCTAGTTGATATTGAGTCCCATAATACATGAAAAATATCAGGATTAATTACCAAGTATTTAGCTGCGGCACTAACAATTAGTTGATTAATAAAACAGGTAAACATAAAAAGTACTCACCCCTAAAGAATTTCCATTATTTGGAACACTTTCATAAAGTGTTGATACCTGAAATAAGCCACAAATATGAAGTCTTAGACCCACATCATAAACCAAATAAGACATAATATCATATCAAGTTCTAACTACAGTAGCAATAAATTAATAAAGTGCGCTTTGTAGTTAAAAGTTAATTGCCGCACACTTATTAGTAATCTGGAGACAGCCTTCATGAAACTCAATGACATAGTAAATTAATACACGAGAGGCATATTTGTGTAAGATCCGCGTACGACACTCGGCTGGACATTTATGTAGTTAAGGGGGGAAAGTTGATATCGCCATATTTTTAGCACATCTTGAAGCATAAACATTTAAGCAAGCACTTAACAGAGACGAAATGTTACATAAGAAGATCAAATAAGTTAATGCACGGTTCAAATAATTAAAATAAGTGAACAGAAATGCACTTACATGTGATGCTGGTATCTCTTCATAAACGTGACTGTCCATTCCACTTTCTATCGTACTGTAATATTCATAATCTGAAGCAGCTGAAGTTCTCGACCTTTCTGAATGCGGACTAGAATCCGCAGACGACACGGACACGACTTCATCATAAGAAGGCGGTGGTGGTTCTGTTTGCTTCGATGTAGGAGACGGAGTCCCAACTTTTGACTTCGTTCTGTTACTGTTTCTTAACACTGCCTGTGAAGGTACGTCTTCTGAAGTGCGGCATGACACACCGGTTGGACTAGCAGAAGAGGCGCTTTGATACAGAGGCTCTAAGGAGCTGTTAGGCACAAAACCTTTTGTTGCTGAAAAAACAAATTAATTCCTTATGTTCCATTAAAAGGTACTTTAATAAGTGAGAAATTTTATTTTGGAGTATGAAATTATACCAAAATTCTTAGGGACCAAACAATTTGAATTTGTTAGGCTGGTAGATTTTACTGCATATACTAAGAAAGTAGTTCTACGTGGCTTACTTCCATCATCAACAAACCACATTCTTGTGTCACCCAATGGATTGTGTTTCTTGATCACAGCAACAATATTCCCTCTACCAACTGTGAGTTCCATGGCCTCAGCTGCCGTGTGTGGCAGCACAACACAGAACAGCATATTGTGAGGGTAGCGGCTCTGCAAATACGCTTGCTGACTGGGACTCTGATTCTTGTTGCACTGTACAAAAATAATCAAGAATGGAAGCCACTAGAAATATGTACAATTACAAATTGTAATGCCAGCGTCGAATCACGCGAGTAAAATAAATAAAAAAAAAATTTTAATTCACTTTTTAAGAGACACTAAATTCTTATTGCAATGTTGATAAATGTTGGAAGTATCTAACGCTGTGTCTTTCTAACAAAAATCAATGGACCACTATTTTACTAAGCATAACACTTCATATTTTTACTGTAACACTCTACTTCACTCTCAATATCGTGTTTCTTAAACGCCTTAGCAGGATATGAGGTTCTCATAGCAGTGAATACAAATACGCCTGTCGTCTGGGTAATAGCACTGCGTAGTATAATAGAAGTTTACCAATGTTTCAGAGGCCCTTGCTGCCTTCATCATCAGGGCAATAAGTATAGATTTACCCTCAATGGGAAATCTCTGTACTTTTCAACAGTTTCTGAATAATTCCATTGATTCTAATGGCAGAAGTGTCCTGAGTATGAGAAATATAAGAGTAAAGAGTGAAATGTTTCAAACATATTTATAAAAAAACAGCGAAGTACTATGGAAAATTTTAATATCACTTTCACATAAATCTAATACGTTCACTGAAAATTAAAATGTGTCTTTAAATGAGCCAATCCATGTAATGTGATGAAAAATACTTACCATGTTCAGAGTGGCTGAGCCGAAATCCTTAGTCGTGGGTGTGGGTGATGACCTTGAACTTCTCTTTGTTAACGTATCAGACTTCACACTCTTGGGTAAAAAACTAAACCTTCCGAGCTGATTCCATAACAAAGAATGCTTCACCAGAAATGACTCTATTGCATCACCTTGAGAAGACTTCATTAAGGGAGTCTACAGGAATCAATCAATAAAACTCAATTTAACAACACATATTCTGCAATCATCACAACAAATTTAAAAATATTAATATGAATCATAATGAAACATGAACGGCAGCAAAATAATTCCTATGAGCGGCTAAAAATATGTTAAACGTTTGTAGGATTTGAGGTTTTCACGGCGGTGAGTCCGAATCTGGCCGTCTTCTGGATTGTCACACTGTGTTTCAGAGGTTAGACAAAGAAAAGTCTGTTACAAACAAACTCAGCATCGATTAATGGAACTTTACTGCTACTAATGCAAGTACCTTACCTCCATTAGTGCAAGATATTCCTTGGTTATTCTTCCTGACAGCACCTTCCTTGCCATAACAAACGCTGCCAAACATTCCACGAACACTTCACAAGCCAAAGAGTTCAGGGAAGGAAGTTCCTCCAGCAACTGACTGTTTAGTGCTTCATAATTGCTTTTTGTAGCCAACAATTCTTCCTGGTTCTGAAAAGGAAAATTAAAAAAAGGACAAACTATCCAGAAAGACAGGTCCAGAAATAAAGATGGCTTTCTTCTGGTGTGTTGAGCGGCGTAGTCTACTGCTCTTTCGGCAGGAAACTTCTAACAGACTACATGGCGCAACACCCCAAAAGATGGTCATATTCATGCTTACCACTAGATCTCACAGCCTCATAAATATTCTCCATGCAGTAACAACAGTTTTCAATACAAAAATTACTACTCAAAATTCTGTTCACATACGCAATTGGTCACAATAAACAGCCACTGCTGTTTATGCATAGGCGTTAATTAAAATGACTTACCAGTCGGTTTTCCTTATTCTTCTCGGCTTTGGTACAGCAATAATGATAATCCAAGAGCTTATCATGACGTTTCTGGACCAAAATTGCCGGCCCTTCAAATAATTCCATCAAAGTATTTAATGGAACTGTAACTCTCTGCTTCACAAGCTTGTTCTATTGTAATAGAATAAATAAAATTTAATACGTGTTCAGAACATAAAAATAACACGACAAGTTTAATGTCTGTTACAGTAACGAGTACGCTATTAAATCCAAGAATACGTGTGAATCTATATTTCCTTCATCTAGAGAGATGTGGTCAAACCTATGTGCATTCATCTCATGCACATCACGCAAAGGATGAATAAAGACACTAAAAGATCAATACAACTTACACATTCCACACAGAATCGCTTGCAGATACACTGCTGAAGTTTGTGAAATTCTTCAGGTTCAGAATTTCTTTCCTGATAGAACTGAACAATGGATGCTGCAATGTTAAGTTGACAGATCATTGTTTCATTCAAGTCACAAAGAAATATTTCCACATCCTTCAGGAAACTTCGAACAGTCTTCTCTATGGTGTGAAAAATAAATTCATGCTCGTCAAATACCGGATCTTTCGTCTAGAATAAAATTTAAAAAAAAAAGATGTTGGTTTACATTTCCTGTTGTCATTTCTTACAATTTGATACATTCAGTCTCAACATTTCAGACATGTTATTTAAACTACAACTGAATTTGTAAACTGATAACAGCAAGCATTAAGAACTGAACAATGACCATCTGAAATAAGAATCAACAGTAATAATTAATTACTCCTAGTGGATTAGAATGCAGAGTATTCACAATACAATTCAATTCGTGACTTTAATCACAGAACGACAAGGTAATGTAAGACTTACAGCAACTCCAAAGAGTGTAGAGGTCAGCATGACTCCAA